ATGTTTGTCAACGTGGCCCCTGCCAAAAGGGTACTCCACATGATGGCCGAAGCGACGCCTCCGCCCCCGTTTCCACCATCACTTTCGCCGCCACTATTCGCCTAACACGCACTCTGCCGCCGCCGTCCGCCTCCGTCTCCCCCGAAGCCGCCGACACCACCGCCTCAACCGCAGCCGCCGCCTTCGCCCCCGCGTCCACCGTCGCCACTGCACTATCCACATCGGCTCCACATGCGGCCGGATGGGCTTCACGAGACGGCCTACAGACCTGAAAAAGATCGAGCCTTCGTGGCTTGAGCCAAAATGGCTTGAGCCAACATGGCTACGGGGCGGGCCACATGCGGGCGCAATCTCAAGAGCTCTGCACAGGGCCACGTAGCGCGCGAAGGGTGCGGCGACACGGGGCGGGCCACCATGCGGGCGCAGCCACTAGGGCCTTCGCTGGAATACCCCTGTGGAACCACGAAAAAGGCCACCAGGAATGCTGAGCGCCCAGGACTCCTCCGCGCCGAGGCTGTCATCCTGTCGCCCGAGCAGCAGGCGCCGAGGGCGCGACGAAACGGGGCGGGTCACATGCGGGCGCAATCTCTAGAGCTGCGCATGGGGCCACGAAGCGCGCGACGGATGCGCCGACCCGGGGCGGGCCACCATGCGGGCGCATCCGCGGGGGCATCCGGTGGAGCGCCCTACGTGGGCCAGGACACGCGTGAGATGGGTGCGCCGAACTGGGGCAATCCACCATGCGGACGCAGCCGCTGGCGCTCCGGCGGAGCTGCCGATAGAGCCACGAAAAACGCGAGCGGCGCGCCGACATGGGGCGGGCCGCCATGCGGACGCAGCCGCTGGAACCTTCGATGGAGCCCCCGCTGGGGCCACGAAACGAGCCCGGGACGCGCGTGGACATATGTTTTTACGCTCGCACTCCAAGTGGCCACTCTCGCCTGTCATCGCCCCAGGGAAGCACCCGCTTGTCGGCGCAGTGCTCCTGGCGAGCGCGCCGCCCCCCGGGCCTCGAAGGCCCCCGAAAAGGGTCGCCTGGCGCGAGCGGTCGGTCCAGGGGCGCCTGGCGCGCGCAGGCGCGCGTGCGCGCGCGCGACGCAGAGCGCCCATGCATCGTGCGCGCGCAGAAAAGGAGGCGGGAGCGGCTCCGTCAGATTTTCTCACGGCCGCTCGTTGTCACCAAATCTGAGGCCCCCGGCTCCGCGGGAAGGTCGGGCTCCCTGGGATTGGGGGCCAGCTCCTGAAAGACTCCGCGACCCTGGTCAGGACACCTGCACGACGCCGTTGCCGAGCGACGGACGAGCGCTCAACGAGCTCGCGGCCTAGCGCGCCAAGGTTGACATGGGAAGGGCGCGAAAAGGAAGAGGGGAAGGAGGAAGGAGGGGGGGCAGGAGGAGACGCGCGACGCTGCGAACCCCGAACGGGGACACAACGGACGGGAGGATTGGGGGCCAATACAGCAGGTTTCAAGTGGCATGCCGCTTGCAAATCCTGCGCGCAGGCCCCGACCCTGTGTTGAAAATGAGGCGACCCATTCCTGGCAATCTCCATCGCGCCTCCCGTGGGCGTCGGAAATGACGCCCCTAGCGCGGGCCACCGCCGACCCCGCGCACCGCTCCAGCTCCCCAGCGACGTCGCTGCGGCGTTCAAGGAAGAGCCGCCGCGTACTGCGCAAACCAGAACGCAAGCGTTTGGCTCACATCTGAAAAGCGAGAAACGCGTCCCTGGCACCGACGCGCCCCAAGCTTTGGCTGGGCTTGCAATTTGCATGCATGCTGCGAAATTGGTCAAGGTCCCTGGCTTGGTCTGCAACTGCCATCGGCCGCCCGTCATGAGTATGGTCATCCAGCAAAATCAGACGCCTGCGACTGCGCGCTGCCGCCCAAAGCAGCCCTCGGGCCAACTCTGCGAAACGCCTGCGCACTGGCGCGCGCTGCGCCAGCGGTGCGGGTCGATGCATAAGAAGAGGGCCTCTTACTGCTGGCCTTGTAGGCGTGGACCCCGTCGCATCCGCGGTCTGCCGCTCCGCGTGAGACGCCGCATTCTCATCCTCGGCATCTCTCGCCCTGCCTCAGTCTGGAAATAATGCCTTCGGTCATGCTGAGAATCTCACCCCAGTCGCCCTGCGAGACGCAGTTCTGGCTATCCTCCGAAGTCGCGCAGGCGAGCGGCGGCGTCTCCTCGACCTGCAGGATGCGAAGTTGACGCGCCTTCGCTGCAGCCCTGCGCGCGGAGGCGCGGGCGATCTGGCATGCCAGCCGAAATGGCTCTCGGCGCTGGCTACTCGTTAGGAAATGATTCTCGTATAGAAGAGTCGATGCGTCCACCGCAGCTCCATCGCGAACCGAACGAAAATAACCGACATCTGAGCACCCAGCGATTTCAGAAACCCAGGCGTCGCCATAACTTGATCAAGGGCATGGAAATCTCTAACGACCACGAACTGCAACATTGACGTCTTGCATCGCGTGGCAACTCGATCTAAGATATCCGACGCAGCGGTGGGCGCGCCTCCTGAAGCTTCACCGCGCGCTGAAACGCAAGGGGCCCTGGGGCCCCGGGGAACTCCACCGCGCAGGACAGGGCCCTGCGAAGGAAATCGTTACCTTCATCAGGGGTGGTGGGCTGCTTTAAACTGCAAGCCCCAAGCGTCGCCCTAACGAACAACGTGACATCTGCAGAAACGCCATCGTCCGTCAAGTCACTGCGACTTGGAGAGGCGGTGCCAGAAAGGCTGATGAAGCTAGGTGCCCAGTACGATTTACAATCACGGTGAGTGGCCCAAGCAGGCGCGGCCCCCAACGACCCCTCCAAACATTCAACTTCCTGCGCAAAAGCCAACGAAACATTTGATTCCTGGAACAACCCAAATCTCCGCGCAATCGCAACCCCAAAACCCAAGCAGACCCAGTGAAAAAGTCCACCACCCTCGCATCTCCCCCACTCCCAACAACCCAACTCAACTGGTCGTGATCGAATGCGAATCCGGTGCTCGCAAATTCTACCTCAATTCAACCTAAAACGCTCGGGGCACCCGTGCAAACCTCGGCCTCGCAAGACTGCCAATTTGACTACCACGCGCCAGGACACGTGGACGTAAACATTTCGGGCTGCCCATCAGACCTCTCGTCGCCCGCAACTGCAGCGCCACAGGGAGATCCTGAATCGTAGCGATGCTCTGGCTGATCTTCTGGAGCTGGAGAGGATCCACCTTCCTTGCCTGCTCCTGGCCCGCCACCTGCGACACGCGCGCGGCGCTCCTGTGGTTCACGATATACTGGCGCTAGCTGTGCTGATGGAGTGTTTGCTATTTGTGGCGGCGGGACTCCTGCACTTTTGCCCCGACGCCTTCACGCTCAGGCTTGGGATCCGCTGCCACGGGCTTGGCGCCTGCCGCCTTGGGTCTGGTTGCGGCGTCGGCCTGCTGGGTGAAGACCACTTTGCGTGCATGTTAAGACTCGCGAAATTCCCTTTGTAAGGGGCTCTCGGGTTTAGCAACCTGTCGAACAAAAACATCCTCTTGGGCACCTGTGGCAACTGTGCCGCTGTCCCGCGTCCTTCCGTCGGCCTCCGTGTCCTCCGCAACGGATGGTAATAGTATTCGACTGTAGCTGTTGTCGCCACCAACGGGGGCGATTGCGGTAAGCTGTTCGAATCATAAACTGAATGATGCCAATTCACCAAGTTGCTTGCTTGCCGTCGGTGCCGACGTGCGAATCTCTGCTCATGCCCGACCTTGAGTTGCTGTTCCGGCTCGATAAGCTTGCTGTTCATTGCCAGCAATCGTCATCCGATTCGGCAATATTGCTGCTCATTGCCAGCAATCTGCTTCATGATCTTGCCGCACCTAATAATCATTGGCCCTGTGGATTCGAAATGTTGCGCGCTATACCTGGCTGTACTGGGAAAAGGTTGACAGCGGCCTTCTCCTTGATCCCATCGGGTTTGTTTTTCGCGGCAATGGATACCCGGATGATTTCCAGGGAACAAATCATGTGGAATTGAAAAAACGGTGGCGAATTACGTTTCGAGCGGAGACGGCCAACAACGATGCCCACAAGTGCTGCAAACCGCCCAGTGCCTGGCACCTCCGCCCGCCATGACAAAGAAAATCTATGGTGACGCCAAAACGTCGTAGTAGGATTACGCGTTCGACCATGGACCCCTCGCCACGCATCGTGGCCTCTGAAGACCGCCGAAAGACCGCCAAAAACCGTCAGCGGGCGCGCGCCCCGCCATGGGCGTTGGGGCCCGACACAGTCTTGGGCGGCCTTCGGAGTTCTTCGGCGGTCTTTCGGTGGTCTTGCGGTCTTTCGGCGGTCTTCGGCGGTCTTTCGGCGGTCTGTCGGCGGTCTTTCGGCGGTCTTCGGCGGTTTTTCTGCGGTCTTCGGGCGTCTTCGGCGGTCTTCGGCGGTCCTTCGGCGGTCTTCGGACGTCTTCGGCGGTCTTTCGGCTGGCTTGACACGGTCTTCGGCGGCCCTTCGGCGGCCATCGGTGTGAAAGCAAGAAATTTCGCGTTACCAAGGCCAATAGGTCCATGATCGAACGCGTAATAATATGGCATCCCCTTACCTGCGGGCAACAAACACAGACCACGCGCCGACAGACCTGAAGCTGCCCTGCCCGCCTTGGTCTGGCCCCTCGGCAACAGTCAAGCAGGAAACCGTAAGGCAACTTGAGCCAACACGGATACGGAGGAGGAAGGGGAGGGAAAGGAGGGAGGATGAGGGGAACGAGGCGTATGAGGAAGGGGGACGGGAGGGAAAGGTAGGGAGGGGGCGAGAAAAGAGGAGGGATGGGGAGTGGGGGCGGATGGCAGTGGGCGGGGTGGGCGGAGAGGCGAAGGGTGGAAGGACGGAAGAGGAGAACGAGTAGGAAAAAGAGGGGCACAGGAAAGGAGCTAGTGTCAGCAGCAGCGGGCGGCAGTAGGAATCAGGGAGTGTGCAGCTGCTGTGGCAGCACGGTGGTGAGAAGACTTCGAGCGCCCTCCCCACTGCGACGGGTCCTTGGCCATCTTGATGCCGTACTCCACGCATGTGAGATGGCTCTTGCTCATCAGGCTCAGCTTCGAGTCGTCCACATGGACGCACTGGCGGGGGAAGGGCGGACGGGTGGAGGCGATTTGCTTGGAGGCGGGGGCGCCTCACACGGAAGAGGCGCGGGGCACGGAGGGATGAACATCCGCCGGCGCCCCTGGAGGCGCCCAGTCGTGGGGGCCCTCGCCGCACTGCTGCAGAGTTGTCATCGCGGCGTCGCTTCTGCTGCCTCCTGCCTCTCCTGTCCTGTCTCCTCTCTGGCTGTGTGAGGATATGGAACCCGCGGCGTCTTGACTGACCGTGCAATTCAGGCGCGTGGCTGCCCCTTGCAATTCAGGCGCGCCCCCCCCTTCCAGCGTGCACAGAACGCGCGCGCTCTATCGTGCACATACATAAATATCGATGTGCATATACATATTTGTGATGACACGAAGGTTGGGGTTTGCGGGCGACTCGCTGTCGGGGAAGTGTTGCGACCGTCTTGGGCCACTTATGGGACGTCGCAGGGCTTCCTTAGACTGGCTGTGGGACTATTTAGGCGCTGTCTTAGGGGTGGGGCAGGTGTCTTTGGCCCCGATGGCGCCGTCCAGGGTTGCCAGATCGTTGGCACGACACGCAAGTCTTGGATTGCGGGTTCGTCGGCAAGATCGCTGAATAGCCTTGGGGCATTGACTGGCTGTCTGATGACATGTCAGGGGCGTAAGTTGCTGGTCTGTGGGTGTCACATTTTGTTGGCCTGCCTGGCCGAGCACGTGCGGTAGGGGCGAAGAATGATGGAGGACGGGACAGAAGGCAGGCGGAGCACGTGCAGAAGGAACAAAGACTGCCAGAGAACGCATGGCAAACTGCCATGATAAATGATGCACGAGATGTCACGCTGGGTGGCGGAGCCCTTGTAGGAAGATCGAGAAAAAACGGAGGAAAGAAGGAACGCAGTCTTGATATTGAATGCATGCACTGTCAAGCCAGCTGGCGGAGCACATGCAGAAACTCCTGCCGGTCACACCGGCAGGGCCTCAAGACCGACGATTTACCTTCATTACTGAAGAATTTTCGAGCCACCTCCAGCCGTCCGTCGGATTTCTTTGGGCCTCCTGGACGGGCGCATGCTGGAAGATGCGGACTTGGAAGTCTGTGGGGCCGTTCTGGAACCCACCGGCTGGCCTTCTACGCGGTCGGGGGGTCCAGGGCTGGTCAGGTCCAGCCCTGACTCCCCGCGGACTTGCAGACATGTCCCCTGAAGAGGGGGTCACGTAGAAGTCGAATGTTTGTTCCTCCGACTCCTCCTCCTACTCCTCCTCGTCCTCATCCTCCCTATGATCGTCTCAACTCGCCTGGGCGTCGGTTTTGGATGGGCTGGTGGGTGTACTTTTGGTACGCGGGCGCGCGCGCGAAGCAAGTCAAACGCCGAGCACGCTAGGGCTGGCCTCGCCGTAGCGAAGGAAACAACAGCGGGGTAAACTACGCCGCCACAGAGCGGAGCAGAACGAAGCGCAACCAAAATGGCGCGGGAGGCATCACACAACCCGGGAGCACGCTCACGATGATGCCGAAGAGGACGCAGATGTAGAAACTTGTTTTTTTTCAGCAGCCGCGAGCGAAAGCGCACACGGCAAGTCGAGTCAGAGCGGGCCGCGCAAAGACGAATTACCTAAAGCGGCGGGGCCTCAGGCGTCACCACGGCGGGCGGGGCCGGCGGGTGGGGGTGCAAGCTGCGGCTGCCAGGGGCTGAGCCAGGGCAAGGCGCAAATTGGCCAACCAGGGTTGGAACGCGGCCAAAATGGCGCGGGCTGCACACCAGGGTGGGGCCAGGGAAGCGGCGAGTCAGCATCTGCGACGACTGCGAAGCGTGCCGAACGGCCCGAACTGGTGCAGCAGGTGTAGAAACGCGGAGCGTCAATAATTTGTGCCTCCCGGAGGCCTCTTGAGAGTCGTCGTCGGGCCCCCTTGGGCCATTTGGGGAGCCCGTTGAGCCGTCGAGTGGCAATCTTAGGCCCATCTTGGGCTATCTTGGACCGTCCAAGGCCGTCTTGGGCCCTCCTGTGGCGCTCGCGAATTAGCCTCTCCGGCCAGGCCCGAAGTTGTCCCAGCTCATCTTTACTTCTGTTCTGTGGACACATACATATGTATAACAAACATGTGTATATCCATAGATGTATATATATATATATATATATATCGAGAGAGATGTGTGTGTGAACGTGTGTGTATACACATACAGACGCATCAGTGACAAGCACAGGAACAAAAATAGGAACATCTGTATAGATTGAGACAGCGAAACAGAAAGACAGAGGGGCAGGGAGACAGAAGCATATATCAAAACAGTGACAGAAACAAAGATAGACGCGAACACCACCGAGCCAGAACACACAACGCCGCCGGTAAACATTGCCGTGCCTGCGAACACTCTAGAGGCCAATCCTACTCTTCCTCCTCCTGACCATGCGAAATCTGAGACACCCTTAGTCAAACAATGCTTTCAACTAACGGCAAAAGACTCAACACGTGTTGTGCCACACCAGAACCGGAGTCCAAACGGCTTGCCCTCCGTACTCTCACAAAGGCGAACGCAAGAGCGGGGACGATCGTAGCCGCGGCCACCACGAGGACCTCCTCTTGACACTCCGCGTCGGTTTCGTCAGCTCTGTCGGTCTTCAGGGCGCGTGCCCGAGCAGGGCGAAGGGGGGTTAAGAAACGATGTTCTGCTGGGCTGAGGGGAGCAATTGGTCGGTCTTCCACCAGGGCGCGGCTGCGTGGCGGGCGCCCCACTGGACTTTTCTCAATCGCCGTCTCGCGTTTCTTGCTATGCTGTGTACCTTGCCTCCAACGGCAACGAATGACCTCGCAGGAGGACCACCCCCGTCACTGGCAAAGATGCGAGTGAAATACCGCAGACTCGAACGCTTGGCGGGCTGCCGCTGCCCTCTCTACATGCCGAAGACATTCCTAATTCCTATTCAAATCTGGTAGCTGGCACCCGCGAGCCACGCAAGAATGACCCGCATTGCACGCGAGGCCTCTTTGCCAAGGAATGCACGATTCTCCGGCCCAACGGACCGAAGGCCTGCTAAAATCTCCGGTAAGAGTCCAATCATGTTTCTAATTCGCCCGCGCGTGGCGGGCCCTGGGGATACCCGGACGAGAAAGACCCTGGCTAAGTCCCGGAAGGGTCCCGGCAGGTCAGGTTCAGAGATGCCGGAACTCCTAGGCGCGGCCTCGGGTGCCCCTGCAGCGCCCCAATGAGGCGCCAAATGGGTGGCAGGTTCCACGGCCTCAGGCGAAGAACGTTCTAAGATGGCCCAAGCTGGTCCCAACGCGGCCAGAGGATGCGCCCAAGACGCCCCAGGAGGATTCCAAGAGGACTCCGAGACGCCCCGGAGAGACACTAAAATCATTGTCTGCGCTAGGGTCTTCGGACGAGTCGGCGGGACAGCCTTTTCGGGCTGCCGACCACCCTGGGCAGCCCAAGCGGCCACCAAGATCGCCCCAAGACAGTCCAAGAGACCCCAGGACGGGCCCGAGACGGCCCAAAAGAACCACAGGACGGCCCGAAAGGTCTCCCCACAGGGCTCCCGACGTTCCCGCGAGTGCCCCGAGAGGGGAACTCCACCCGACACATCGAGCCCTCCCCGAGAGTTCGCCCGCACGGCCGCCGGCAGGCGCCCGGGAAGCCCTCAAGATGGCCCAAGCTGGTCCCCGGATGGCCCGAGAAGCGCCCAAGACGCCCCAGGAGGGTTCCGAGAGGACTTCGAGACGCCCCGGAGACCCTAAAATCATTGACTGCGCTGGGGTGTTCGGCTGATTTTGGCGGGACATCCGTTTCGGGCTGCCGACCGCCGTGGACGGCCCAAGAGGCCACCAACATCTCCCCCTGTCTGGGCGCGTCTCGAAACTCTGCTGCAATTCTCTCGAGCAATATCGCAGCACCACCAACCAACAGCGATGCGAAATGGACGGGCGGAGTGAGCGCAGCGATCCGCCGCTCCACCGGGTACGGCGCGTTTGAAATCCTCCGCATGGTCTGCAACAATGCTTTCTGTAACTCCTCTCACCACCGCGCTGTTCATACCTGAACCCCGCCTCTGAGCCATCACAACCCCTCGTAGGGCCCTCCCCGCGGCCCGCTCATTCCGCCGGCCCGAGTGCCCGGGCTGCGGCCGAGGCGTCCTCTGGCAACCACTCCCGTCCCCAAAGGTCCCACCTTCCACGAGCTGGGCTTCCAGGCGCCACCAGGCCCTCTCAGAGATCTTTGGCCAGTCTTGGGGGCCTCTCGGGGCCCTTTTGACCGTCCTTCGGGCCGGGCCGCCCCGCATGCCTCTCCACCCCTTTCTCAAATCACATACTCGAGAAAACCCAACAAGCCGAAACACGCGGCCTTCTCGCGCTTCACCTGGCCTTCTCGCGCTTCACCTCGCGCCTCTCTTCGAGCTCCCGTGCATCTCCGCGGGCTCTTGCGGTTTTCTTGGAACATGTGGATGCTCACTGCGGCCGACCCCACAGCCTCTTAGGGCCCCCCTCGGCCGTCTGGGCGCCTTCTTGATGCATTGTTCGGCCGTCTGGGACGCCCCCAAAGAGCCCACGGGGCTCCCACCAAATCCCAAAACTACCTGGGACTGTTTTCTTCCTCGCCCGTTTCCGTCGTTCACCCCACTCCTTCGACAGGTGCTATGCACCATGGCTGGCAAATGCCCCCTAGAACTCACACGACGAGCCCAAGAGACCCTCAAGAAATTCCAATATGGCCCCGAGACGCGCCAACAGAGCCCGAAGAGAACCCCAATACCCTCTCTGACGCCGTCTTGACCCCACACATCCCACGAATTCCACAATCCAAAAATGGTGGAGCGGCGGTATCTGCCCCCTCAGGGGCGTTCAACTTTGGGGCCGAACACCGTTTTTAGGTGCTTGGCTGATGTGGTATTTATAAATAGCCATCTCGCGTTTAAGAGGAGTGGTGAAACGGCTCGCGTCGCGTGCTTCGGCCTCCAGTCTGGCTCACCTCCCTCTACGGTTAATTGAATCGTTGGCATGACTCTGAAGGTAGCGCTCAACCGCTGCTGGACCGAGGCTCAGAGGACTGTAGAGATGGCAAGCATGGCCGTCGAAGGGGAGCTCCAGTGTCTCCAAGTACTTGTCGATGAGATGCTTGCAATGGTTGATCGACTGAACGCTGTTGACCTCGCTACCCGTTGCGCCCACCACTTCAAAGGATCTAGCGGCCAGACAGTGGCCGAATCCCTGGTAGGTCATGAGCGAGCCTGAAGGGAATGCCTGCCTCATGAGCTGTGCGCCGCCAAAGTCGGTCGCCTGGTCGTGCAAATTTCCGATCACCAATGCCGGAATGCGTTCGTTGCCGGCTGGAGGAAGCGGTTTCGAGTACATCGGCCAAGTCGAACACGGGACCATCCATTCAATGTAATGCCTGACTGACATGCCATACGCCCTCAACTGGTCCTGCCACAGCGCGATGAGTGCTTCCTCGCCGTACCTTCCAGGAGCGTCCAAGCCAATCACAGCGCTCATAATCGTTTTCTGAGTTTCATAGAATCGGTCGTTCTCAGTACCTGGACCCAGTGGTGCATTCTCTGGCTTTGCTTCGGACACCGCACTCACGTTGCAATATTCAGGCGTCTGCGCCCCTTCGTCCGCCAGCCCCCGCTCACCAGGGATTACAAGGCGTGCGAGGCGCTCTACAATTACTCAATATGAATACTACTCTCCTCCTTCCCCTGATGACGGGTTGGGAATGTTTGCCCCCCCCCCCGCGTACTGTTTATTTACACACAGGATTCCCCGGAGTTGGGTTTTCGCCTGCATTTTTTCCGAAATGCTGCTCTCGCTGACGCGCCGGCCTCATTTTTGGGCCCCGCTCGTTCCGAATCGTGCTCCCGCTGCAGCGCTGGCCTCATTTCCGTGCTTCCGCTCGTTCCGAATCGTGCTCCCGCTGCAGCGCTGGCCTCATTTCCGCGCTTCCGCTGGTTTCGAATCGTGCTCCCGCTGCAGCGCTGGCGTCATTTCCCGTGCCATGCCACGGCATGCAATGCAATGCTAGGTTGCGTTCCGCTGCGCGATGCCATGCCTTCAGCTGAAGCTGTGACATGCAGTGCTTAAGTGCCACGTCGTGCTATGCCATGCTACGCTTTGATCTTCAACGCCATGCTATGCAATGTTATGTTCGGGGCCGCTGTGCGATGCCATGCTTTGCGTTGCAAAGCTTTGTGATGCAATTCTTCACTACGCCACACCACGCCATGCTGTGACATACTACGCTTTGCGGTGCTCTTCTACGCCATGCCATGCCGTGCTCTACAATGCATCGCGTACCCTTTCGGGATCATTGCCCTGCCCGACATCCGACTGTGCGAGTAGAGAGGGGATCTACGCCATGGTAAGGGATGGGAGGGAGGGGTAGGATGTCAGATATGACGCGAGCGCACCTAGCTTGACGGTCCCCCTCCCCCGTTTCCCTCTTCCCCAGGGCTCAGCCCAGCATCTCGTTTGAGGATGGGGATCCCCGTACCCCGACGAGTTCGTGAGGGCAATTCTTGGGACCTCCTGTGCCCTTGGAGCCTCAAAATCCACCCTCCGTCGCCTCCAAGATGCCCAGAATGCCTCCCAAGACGGCTCCAGCCAGCGGGGCTCCAACACGCCAGAGAGGCCGAACTGACATCCCGAATGACCTCAACATGACCCAATGTGGCCCCCAAGACGCCCAAAGAGGGCTCCAAGAGGAGCTTCGAGGGAGCCTCGAAAGGCAAAGATCACTGATTTGCCTGAGGTGTCTGACAGATTTCCACGTTCTCGCCTTCCAGAGCCTCTGAAAGGAAGCCCAAGACGGCCCTCGAGGCCCCCCAGACCGGCCCAAGACGGCCCCAGGGGCCCCCAAAGAGGGCCCAGAGACGGCCCAAGAGGGCCCAAGGACGGCCCAAGAGGCCCGGAAACGGCCGAATGAGCACCCAATCGGGGTCCAAAACGGGCCAAAGACGGGAAGCTCGTGGGGCCCTGGGAGCTCTGCCCCCACAAGATGCCCCCGAAGACCCCCAACATGCCCCCAACATGCCCCGAAGAAGCCCCCAAAGAAACCCGCAGAGGCCCTCACGAAGCCCCAACAGGCTCCCTCCCAGGAGCCCGCCCCAGGAAGCCCAAGATACTTCCACAAGGCCTGGTCGTCATCCTCTTCCTCCTTCTCGTCGCCGTCATCCTCCACTTCCTCCCCCTTCTTCCCTCCTCCTCCCCAATTCCCTAGGTTCCTCCTCCCCCTCCTCCTCATCCTCCTCCTCCTTCTCCTCCTCCTCCTCCTCCTCCTCCTCCTCCTCCTCCTCCTCCTCCCTCTTCCCTCTCATCCCCCTCATCCCCTTCATCATTACTCCGTTTCCTCCATCCTCCCTCCCCGCTCCTCCCCCCGTCGCAGAACTCCCGACTCAAGCGCGGTAGCGGGTTGGGCGGAAGGAGACTAGATAGAGAACTATAATGGTGGGACATCCCAAAGAACTGGTGAGACACCTGCAGACGAAGGCGTCACGCGTCACGGCGTTCAAAATGATCGGGATGAGAAATGCCGCCTGGTTCCGGCTTGTGCCGGGAAGGTCACAATTGACACATTTCTGGAAGCCTGGTGGTAAGAGGTGGCACAGTTCACCGAATCCGTAATCCGAATCGTTCTTTCGCACGCAACATGTCAAGTGTCTCCCAGGGGGTAGGCGGAATGGCGTAAGCCTTTTGAATAAAGAGCTGCAGCGCAAGCCACTGTTGCCGGTGCACCGTCAATGCAGGCGTTATCATTCCCACAAGCTATATTGTCGAAGTAGTTGGCAACAGCTGCCGCGCGGGTAAGGTTTGTTCTGTCGTTGATCATATGTTGGACCTTGGAAGAAGGGCTCGGGGCTAGTGGACACCGTTCTTCTTCTGACGCGTTGCGGTAGAGGGATTCGAAACAATCAGTGAAGACTGCCTCAAAAACATTAGAATACCCTTTCTGCTGATGCGTTGGTAAGGTATGCGTCTCAAGAACCGGAGGGATTACGCCATCCAGAACCAAACGATCAGTGTGATTAGGGAACAGAGTAGCATAGTTCGAACCAACAACCGTCCCATATGACAATCCGTAAATAGACAACTTATTTTGGCCAATCGCGCGGCGAAATACATCAATATCCTGCGCTAAATCCTCGGTGCCAGTGTACCGGAACAAATTGTACGCTTGCCCGTCCGCCTTCCTCAAGCTGTTGTACCGTGGTGCATCCGTACACAGAGTGCTCTCAAGCTGGACAAGCCTATAGTACCACCGGACGTACGTCTCGTTCAAATACGTGACGCCATGAACTCCATCAACCGGAAGCCCACCATACCGTAGTATAGCAAACATGATCTTGATATCTTCCTCTGATGGCTCTGGTGCGTCCTCGCCCATGAAATCTGTTAAGGCATTCTTCAAGCGTTCCACCTGCATCGAGTAGGCCTCAACCGAAGTGTAATTCGCCAACCCAACGAGGTACTGGCGTCTTATACCTGCTTAGCACGGTGCGGAAAACGCCCTGAATTTGGGAGTATGTAGGATCATTGTTTTGTCCGATACTCCTCCCCTTCCTTCCCTCTTCCCCTCGCCGTTTTCTCATCCAACTAACGTTGTCCTAGTCTCGTGCTGCCTTCGTCTGCATAGTTGCACCTCCTGGCCCTCTTGGGGGGGTCCCTCTTGGATGCACATTGGGGCGTCTTGGGGGCCGCTTGGGTCGTCGTGAGGCCGTCTTGGAACAGATTGCATCGCTCTGGGCCGTCTTGGGGCCTCTTGAACCCTTTCGAGCCGTCTTGGAACATGTTTAGAATGTCTTCGGCCAGCTTAGAAACCATATTGGGACCGTCTCGGGGCCAGCCTGGGCCGTCTGGTTGGGCTTTGATGGGCTGTCTTGAGGCCTTCCAGGAGCGACGCCAAGACGACGTTGCAAACACTTCATGTTTTGACAAAAACGTCCCCAGCGAAATTGCTGGTTTGAGTCGCAAGTAAAGCGCGTGTTCGGGGCGAGACCTTGAGAGGGACCCGAGAGGTCCCAAAGACGCCTTACCTCCTCTCCCTCCTCCTCGTCCTCCTTCTCCTCCCCCTCTTCCTCCTTTCCTCTTCCTCCCCAAATGTTTCCACAAGGGTGGGTTTCCACAACGGCTGCTAGAACGAGTGCTCTCCCTTTGCGCGAGCTTCACGCGTTAATTCTGGAAGGACGCCACCCAACGATTTCCCACCTCCTCCCCGTCCCCCTCCCAACAAAAAAAATGCCAGCAAAATATCCTCCGCCCTTGGCCTAAAACGGTCATTGAAACGGCTCCGATGGCAGAAACTTAAACAGGGACGCGTTTGGTTAAGTTTCGCCCCTGGTTTGTTCAGCGGCTGCTGCCCCCCTTGCGAGTCTCACGCGTCAGCTCGGGAAACAGCCACAGCCCAACAACTTTCCGATTTCGCGAGTACACGCACACATTGCAAAAATGATGCATGCTGGGCCGGCGGAGTGCGGACATCGCTTGAATTTGACTGGCCCAACCCAGCGGACAAAGTCTTGTAAATCTCATCACAAGACAAATATGGGAACGGGGTCACTGGTGCTCCGTCAGCCTCTTCGAACGGGCATGAAGTGGCAGCATCTTGAACGCCACGCTGGCTGATACCGAGAAATGCAAAATCATATTGGCCGAACTGGTTCGCACCAGTATGTGCGCACATCCGGTCGCTGCCAGGACCCCCGCAATGCATTAGCATTGCGCCAAGGGACGGATTCTCCGATTTGGTTAGTGCCATGATGCGCAAGCACACGTGGGGTACTTTTGCGTCTGGTGATACGCGCACGTCTTCGTGACTCAACGGCACCTTTAGCCAACCGCTCAGCTCGAAAAAACCAGTGGTTGGGTAATAACCAGACGTATTCTTATCCCAAATCAACAGGGTCGGGTCTGGTTCGATCAAAGAAAAATTGGTTTTAGGGTGCTCTGTCAAACGCGAGGCATGGAACCGCGTCGCCAGAAGTGCAAACGCATCATCCTCGCCCATGCAAGCGTCTCCTGTGCACTTGGAAACCTCACCAGTGGCCCCAAACATTAGAAAATATAGCGGCAGCGCTGCTCGAATTGGGATCATTGTTGCCACTTCTCCGGGTGCTTGCGGCATCAATCGCGTCCTCCACTTTGCGGTGCTGAACCACTGTAATGGCTTGGACAAAACAGATGAAACATAATATGAATCTGAAGATGGAAATGGGTATGTAGATGGTGATGAAGATGATGATTGGCATGATGATGCTGATGGTGGTGGTGGTGATGATATGGATGGTTGTGGCAGCAGCAGGATCACGAAATGTTTTCCCCTTGAGCCAACGCGGGCGAATCACATATGAATCTTGACAACAATCCCGAACGCTAAACCTGTTCACGAAGCCTGCTCACCAGCTTCACGGGTGGAGCTTTCTCTCAGGCTTAGCAGCACAAGCCGCCCGCCCTTGTGGCCGCCGGCAGTCAGTCACTCCTGTAATTCATGCGCCCCCGGGGATGAAAAGCGACACAAAATGAAAACACGAACTCGTCGCTGGAAAAGAAGAGGATGCTCGGAGGGGAGGAGAAGGAAGGGAGAAACAATCACCACCACCACCGGGGTCTCGGGAGTTCTGGGCCTGGAACTCCTCCCAAGTGATCATGCTGCCCAACTTCCTCCTGGATGCTTCCTGGGTCCTGCTCTCGAGCCCGGGTTCCGGATTCATCTATCATAACAAAGCGCCCGCTGACCATCAGGTCGAACAATGCAGCGTTGCACTTCGACGCGTCGTCCTTGGTCAGCGCATCCAAGGGCATGCGACCGCATGGGATCCACTGGACCCGCCCCTTGGCCTTCTCGAGGGCCCTGCTGTTTATGCCACGGTCGATGGCCATTCTGCGGCCCCGGGCCCCGGCGTTCCATTCTTTAAGCGCAATGTCATATAAAGATTTCGCGTCCACGACATGAACTTGCCCGCCCCGACTCCCAAGACGGCAGTCCCGGAGGAGGACCGTGGTGAAAAGTCAGGAACCCAGCGGTCATCTGGGAGGCCGACGTCCTGGAACATGATGTCCCGGTGAAGTACTTGTAACTATTCTACTTCGGCGACAGCAGCGGACAGGGCCTGGGTCTCACCTGCCAGAGTAGATGGTACTTTGCGGCGTAGCTTCGAACAACACCACCCCAAGATGGATGCTTTGACCGACCTGTTGTTCCGCACGCTCGTGTCTGCTGCGAGCACCATCCTTGCTTCTTGCGTCGCATGCTCGGGTGGGCCCCGATCGTCTGTTCGGTGATCGACCGACCCAAAGCCTTCAGCGTCGGACAACGAGAGAACGGCTACGTTCTCTGGGCCCGGCTTCCCTGGAAGCCGTGGCGCGCAAATGCCTCGCGAGTTTGTTGGCGACGGGAACGTCTCCTGTGGCGGGCGCCATCAGCCGGCTCGCCAGTGTGCCGGCGACCCTGGCTGTTTCTGGAAGTGTCTCTCGCCCGACCCAATTGATTTTGCACACTAGCGAACGCAAGGCCTTAAACTCATTCTGCTCCAAAGGTGAATCTCGCGTGGCCAGTCGGCCACTAGCCGCGGCTAGGGGCTTGATCTCTTCAAGGGTACCATTTTCCTGATCCAGGAGAGCGCGTCGAGGGCTGATGGTTGCGCGACTGCCTGCGAAGTCGACTGAAGCTGCGCGGCAGTCTTGGCGCTCGGCGAACTTAAACGCGATTCGAGAAGCTTCCTCAACCCAGCGCGGGTCTCTGGGGAAGAGCCGCCGACGAAGAAATCGTCGACTTCGCGCGACATCACAATGAATATCTTCCTCCTGGATCCGTAGCTGATGCGCTGGATCCGTAGCGGATCCACCAACATGGTTCTAACAAACATCGTCTGAACATGTGCTTCTCGATAAAGCTGGCCGCTGTCTTGCGCCGCGCGCCCGGCGCATCGTCGAGCCCAAATGCATTCGCCTCAAGTAAGATCAGACTGTCCGTCGGGGGATCGATGCCCTCGCGCGGTTCGACGTAGATGCGCCCTTGGACTCGGGGCATGGGGTCGGACTGGCACGCCGCGCCCTTGACATCTGCGATGTGGGCAAGCAGGGACAGGTCTCGATAAACATCATGATGCTACTCGTCTGCGGGGTCGGCGCACGCGCCGGGAGGAGGCCCGGGTCGGGGTCTCGGCGCCCGCGCGCGCGCCACCTGGACATGGCGTCGGGATCCGCGAAGGTGCCTCCCACCGGCTTCCACCTCCGAACCATGCGGCTCCATGCAATGCGCTCTGGTTGGGACTTCCCCACCGCGTCCGCGTGCCTGGGGGGCGTCGCCTCGACCGCGCCCGTCGCCGTCGTAGCGGCCCATTCCTTCCTGTTAGAAACAGCAAACTTGGCCCTCTGGTCAGGAGAGGGACTTGAGACTGACCTCTCCCCCTGGGCTCGCCACAACCCCCCCCGCCATCGTCGCCCCCCGCCGGGCTCCGGCTGCGCTCGGGGCCCGGCCTGGCCAGGGCGCCGCGTTCGCCGCCGCCGGGCCCGCCAGGGAGAAGGAAAAGATCCTCCTCTCCTTCCCCCCGCTGCCGATCGGTGGAGATCGGCTCCGGGGCCGCCTCTCCGCGACGCCCCGCGCCCAAGCGGCCGCAGGGGCCGCGGGCTCGTGGCCGGCGATGACACCCGAGGCCGGAGGCGGAGGAGCCTCCTCGGGGGCCTCGGGCTCGTCGAGCCGTGGGCTGTCGACCTCGGGCGGGGAACTCCCGGCCCTGACCTCCGCGGCGCGGGCGCGCGCGCAGCGGGCCCGTCGCTCGGCCGGGCGAGCCGCGCCCTGCTGCTCGCCCCCCTCCTCCTGGGAGAACTGGGCGCCGAGGCGAGAGGGGGGCGGGGGGAGAGGGGGCGGGGGGGCCAGGGGGGGGAAAGGATGGCATGGCAAAGGAGAGAGGAGGGGAAGGAGGATGAGACAGCGGACGCCCCGGCCCCAGGCCCTCGGGCCCGCCTCGGGCATCCGGATCCCGCGCCCGCGACTTCCCGGGGGAGCCCTGGGGAGCTGCCCGAGGACGCCGCGGGGTCGGCGCCGCTGCCCTCGGAGACGGGCGGCAGTCGGACGCGCTCGCCACCTGGTCGCGCTGCGATGGGCCCGTCGCCCGACCCTGCTCGAGCCCTCGAGGGCGGGCCCCTGGCGGGCGGCCCGGCCTGGGCCGGGCGAGGGCCCATGCCGCTGAGCCCGCCTCGGGGCTCGTCGGGGACCTCCTCGGGCTCGGGCCCCGGCCCGGGAATCCAGGGCCCGGGGTCGGTCCGGGCCCGGATCGACTCGTCCCGTGCCTCCTGGGGAGGCAGGCCTTCGCGCTGCACATCCACCACGGCTCCTCGGCGATTCTGCGACTGTCGGAGGCGCTCCTGCCAAGACGGGCTCTGGGAGAGCTACTCCCCCAGCTCCTCCACCAACATCCATCTGAC